GGGGATTCGAACCCGCGACCCGCTAGATTATGAGTCGAGTGCCCTAACCACCTGGCCACGGATTTTGTGGTTCAATCCCTTGGCGCTCCCAGTTCATTTGAGAGTAGACAAACGTGTGTGAATTGCGTGATTCAATCCATTGAGGTTTTGTGGCGCTCCCAGTTCATTCGAGAGTAGACAAACGTGTGTGAATTTCGTGATTCAATCTCTTGAGGTTTTGTGGCGGTCCCAGTTCATTCGAGAGTGTGAATTTCGTGATTCAATCCCTTGAGGTATTGTGGCGGTCCCAGTTCATATTCCCGTATGTATATTACATATCATTTTATTTTACATTCATATGAAAATCAATGATGATCTGTGTGGAAATTGACCTCAATAATATAAAAAATATCTTTGAAGTGTAATCAAGAGATGAGCAGTTATGATTTATCTCTGGTTTCGCGTTAACCGTTAACGCTCAATGATAGGCCTTATTGTTCTAAGCCTACTTCTATCATTTTCTTTTCAGATTCTTGTAAAACCTATGATTTAGGCCAGAGTTTCTAGTTCGAAAATAAGCAATAACAGGGTTAAAATCTTCATTTCTGCGTTGGTGCCACTTCCTCAGTTATACGTTTTTTTTAATATTTTACATTTTTGAATTTAGTAACTTTCAACTACGCACTCTTAATACATTTCTGTTGTGGTAGCCTTCTGTAACTGACTGTAAACCTCTGTAACTGACTGTAGCCCTCTAACTGACTGTAAACCTCTGTAAATACGGGCAACTTTTACAAAATTCCATTAATCTCAGTGCCCTTCGGTTTCTTTCATCTTTTCACATTGACTCGTTAGAATTTTCTATGTTATATTTAGAATGATCTTTCTACATCTTTTGATTTTCATCATCACCAGCAGATTAGCAGTGTACAACCAGAACAAGCAGATTAGCAGTGTACAACCAGAACAAGCAGATTAGCATGTACAACTAGAACAAGCAGATTAGCAGTGTACAACCAGAACAAGCAGATTAGCAATGTACAACTAGAACAAGCAGATTAACAGTGTACAACCATAACAAGTAGATTAGCAGTGTACAACCAGAACAAGCAGATTAGCAGTGTACAACCAGAACAAGCAGATTAGCAGTGTACAACCAGAACAAGCAGATTAGCAGTGTACAACCAGAACAAGCAGATTAACAGTGTACAACCATAACAAGTAGATTAGCAGTGTACAACCAGAACAAGCAGATTAGCAGTGTACAACCAGAACAAGCAGATTAGCAGTGTACAACCAGAACAAGCAGATTAGCAATGTACAACTAGAACAAGCAGATTAGCAGTGTACAACCAGAACAAGCAAATTAGCAATGTACAACCAGAACAAGCAGATTAACAGTGTACAACCACTGGTTAAGGTTTAATATTTAATGATTATTCGGCTGATTAAGGTTTAATTTTTAATGATTATTCGGCTGGTTAAGGTTTAATATGTAATGATTATTCGGCTGGTTAAGGTTTAATATGTAATGATTATTCGGCTGGTTAAGGTTTAATATGTAATGATTATTCGACTGGTTAAGGTTTAATATTTAATGATTATTCGACTAGTTAAGGTTTAATATGTAATGATTATTCGACTAGTTAAGGTTTAATATGTAATGATTATTCGGCTGGTTAAGGTTTTCGTACAAAGTGTTAATCATACCACAGGTTATTTCTCTCTCTCTTGTTAATTATAGCTGGTTCTGGTTGTACACTACTGATCTGCTGGTTCACAAATAATCATTACATATTAAACTTTAACCAGTCGAATAATCTTCACATATTAAACCTTAACCAGCCAAATAAGTAAGTACATTAGAACATTGTAATAACAAGCTTTTACATAAGTAAATTAGAACATTGTAATAACAAGCTTCTAACATAAGTACATTAGATTAGAACATTGTAATAACAAGCTTCTAACATAAGTACATTAGAACATTGTAATAACAAGCTTCTAACATAAGTACATTAGAACATTGTAATAACAAGCTTCTAACATAAGTACATTAAAACATTGTAATAACAAGCTTCTAACATAAGTAAATTAGAACATTGTAATAACAAGTTTCTAACATAAGTAAATTAGAACATTGTAATAACAAGTTTCTAACATAAGTAAATTAGAACATTGTAATAACAAGCTTTAACATAAGTAAATTAGAACATTGTAATAACAAGCACACTCTTCGTACCCTTACTGACCATCTAAAGGCTGGTGAGGGTTGAAAAGGCATTCTTATTTTACAATATCTAGAGTATTAATCCGGTCGTGGTTCATTATGTTGCATAGCAACGATTGTCACTGATGAACGCGGTCGAAAATAAGTTATTAAGACTTGCTATCCGTAAGATTAATAAATAAATACAATGAACATTTATGTTGCATGACTCACAGATCGTTATGTGACAAATAAGACCGCACAGAATTTCTACCACCAGGTTCAGCAACATGTTTAATCACTAGAGTGTCTCGTTGGTAGAAATCAGCTCTTCGCGAAAGGCTTAACTTCTCAACAGCAGTAGATATTCATGGCACGTGCCAGCACTGTGACCAGCAAGCACGAGCGAACACGTGTTTGTGACACCGCTGTTCTTACCCGTTGACTGCAGGAAATTGACTCTTTTATTAGTGTTATAGAAACAACAGGATACGGAATTTGGTCTACTAGCTACGGTGGGTGAGATACGAACACGCGTTTTCTTCTTTACACGTTATTAGTACACGTAGAAAGCCTTGACCTCCATCACAATTACTCCTCGTCGTACATAATATCATGTAACAACCCACGATTAAGTAAAACATTTTAACTGTTGTCCTACACAACAAGTGGAGAATCTGAAGAATTCAAAGAGATAAAAACAAACTAACAAGCTCTTTCACCTCCACACTGTAAAACAATAGAAAGGTATTTAACTTCTTATTTCAAT